AAGGTGTCTTTATAATGGCTCTCGTTTCTATAAGAACGCGTACAAAATGTTTTTCTTTTGAAAATGTTTCAAAATGAAGGTGTTGGTGTATAAAATGGTTTTGTTGTGAGCAAGCGAGCAACTAGGAGCGTCCTACCTACTGGAAAGGTCGTAAATGTTCTTTCCCTCCTCCTTTAGATGTTGCTATCTTACCATTTTTTGAGTAAGAAGCCCCATCGTTGAACGTGAAGGGATGGGCGTGGGACGTTTGTATAGTCATAGAAGGCAACCTATGGGACGTTTTAGCAATGTCGTTTGGGGACTAGATCGTTTACCGAAGGCAACATTGAGGGTCATCGAGGGACTACGATCTTTTATCGAGGATCTTTGCTAAAACACCCATATTCGAGGGACGTGACTATTTTTCCGAGGCAACAAGTGAGATTACCCTAAGGGTGCATGTGTGAATAGTGTGTTTAATTTGTATGCATTTAGTCTTTGATTATTGGGTTGTCTACTTGTTGTTTTCATCTTGCCAAACATGCCCTATTTTACTAACAATCATACAAATAAAATTCAGAAAGATAAAATCCTACACTATTACAGCCATATTGAATTGCATAAAAATATAAAGGCAAAAATAAAACAAAAGTAAGAAAAATGGGTCTTTCGATTTAGGGAAGCAAACCCTTCAATTCTGCACTTTCTGGCTCTCTTCGATTTGGCCTGAAAAGGGTGAAGGCATGACTTTCGACTGAGGCCTAGGGGGTCAGCATGTTGTGCCTTTTGATTGGGCCTGGAACCAATGTAAGATGCAATCTGCCTTTCTGCCTCCTTCGACTGGGGATCGAAAGCAGTGAGGGAGTGCCTTTCGTTTGGGCCTGGACTCAGTGCATGCGTGCCTTCTGGTTTCCTCTTTCGTTTGACCTGGAGGTTGGTGTAGAAGCCAAAAGCTTCGTTTCCTACTTCCTGTTTCCTGTTTCTTTCGTTTGAACTCTTGAATAGCAACATGGCCTAAGGCCATGCTAGTATTGCCTTACAATCAGTTTAATACTTAATGCATGTTTAGGTAAACAAGAAGCAAAATGAAAGGGTTAGCTATGAAAACATATTAAAAGGGTGGAAACGAAAAGAACAATGGTATGTGCATGTTTGAAATGAAAGGAAAACTTATTTACATGTTATACAAGAAACGAAAAGTTCAAAGTTTGGAACAACTTACCTTGTTGGAGGCTGGAGGGTGTGCTGGATCTTGAAGTGGTTACCTTGAATGCTACTGGATTCGAAGGAAGGGACTAGAGGCAGCGTTTCTACTGTTTGATTCGAAGGAGAAAAACAAATGAGATGTCTTTTCTATTGGATTCGAAAAGGAATAAAATGTGTGGGACTTTTCAGAATCGAAAGAGGTAAATGTTTTGGGTTTTTGCTTTCACAAGTGTTTAAGTGTTTGAGAGCTTTATGGTGTTTGAGAAATTTTTGGAGATTTGTTCCTCTGGCTAAAAAGTCCTCTTTAAACATGTTGTGAGGCCTCTTATTTATAGGCAAGACTGCCTGAAGCTTTTGGAGGAAAAATAAAAGGTTTGAACAAATTGAGTAACCTGTTCCTTGTAGCTTTTGAGAGACAGTGCATTGTATGTTATTTTGGTGTAAGAAGGGGGAAGTGTTTCAGGACTTCTGTGCAACAGTTTTGGAGTTTTATGGCCAGTGTATCAGGCCAGAGTCTGGCAGCGCATGGGACTTGGTCAACAAATGCCTTTGGCATCTCAACCTTTTGTCTTGACCCCCTAGCATTGCCTTTCGACCAGACTCTTCAACAACCATTTCTTTTTTCAAATTGAAGTGTCATTTGAATGGCTCATGTGGATGTCCTTTGAAGGGGCCAAATTAGTGTGTTTCGACCAGGCCCTTCATGGGTTCCTTCGAATGGTCCAAATGCATGCTTTTGGGATGGGTCAGTAAAATATGTCATTCAATTGGGACATCCAGACATGCCTGGCCTGCCCTTCGAATGCACCAGCATGGTACTTCCTTCTCCTGAGGCAATGGCATAGTGCAGAGTTTGTGTGTTTGAAGCGGGCCATTTCCACAGGAGATCCTGCCCACTCAAATTTGCCTGCAAAAGGGCCATATGGCCAAATGAAAGAGTGTGTGCAGGAGGTTCCTGCCTTGTGACCTTATACAAATATGTTCAAACAAAAGCTTGTAAAAAGGGGAGCCAACATGCCCAAACGAAAGGTGTGACCAATAGCTTGTACTGAAGGATTCATGGGCCCAAACGAAGAAAGCGTGAAGGGAGTCAAATTCCCAAATGAAAGTTTGTAACAAAGGAACCACGTGCCTAAACGAAAGGTTCATGCAGAAGGCCAAAATGTCCAGATTCGAAAGAGGTATATAGGAGGCAAAAAGTGCAAATCGAAGGATGCCAAAAAGGAGCCTTTTACCTTGGAATCGAAGGAGGCTACAGGAGGCCTTGTGCCTTGTGAATCCAAGCCAATGTTCCAGAAGCCCATTCCCAGTCAAAGGATGCAAGCCAAGCTTGTATCGAAAGAGGCCAAAAGGCCAATCGAAGGAGCTGAATCGAAAAACATTTGTTTTTCTCCAAATTTGTCAAAATATTAATTTATCTGTTTTCACACTTTTTGACAGTTTCCTTTTAATCTTGATACTGAAAATCCCAATGTACTTGTGCAAGCTTGAACCTTAAGAATCCTTGTGAAAAATTCCTTGAAAAATGAGAGGGCAAATTTTAGGGTACAACACATGGGCAACCACACAATAAACAACTACTCTCCCAAAAGCAGTAGCACACAGTACAATCACAATGCTAAAATAACATGTCAAGACATGTGATTTAACATTATGACACAAAGCACATCAACACTTTACTCCATCTTTTTAGTCAAAATCTTGACAAAACTGTAGTAAATATGCACAACCAGCGAAACTACACGCTGCATATAGTTAATCTTATTATTAATGCACCACTTACCACAAGAGAGAGAGAGAGAGAGAGAGAGAGAGAGAGAGAGAGAGAGAGATAGATACTCTCTTTTTCTTCTACTTTCCCAAGCCTTGACTCTTGGGAAAAAGGAAAACTCTAACTAACACAGTCTAGGCTAACCATTACCATAGTTGACTGAACAATAAAGTTTGCACGCCTCCTATTCTGACTCCGTATCAGAGCAATTTTCCAAATACACCCTTCAAGGTTTCAATCTGAGTTGCATTCAAGGACTAACTAAGTCCAACTCATAATATCATCCCAGAGATCCCAAGCTAAGGAGAACACTTTTGCTTGCACCAATATCACTGACAGAATTGAGACCATTATCAATGAACTTTGTCAAGTCAAACATGCAAACTTGATTACACTGACTGTAATCAACTTGCCAAAGTGCAGTGTCACAACATCTTCTTTGACATTTCATGCAGAACCCCAATGAACAACAGTTCCCTTCAGCATTATACTTATCCTTAGACTATGATACAAATGAAACTTGGCTGATTCATGAAACAAAATTGCTTTCTAGGGATCGTCATCCCCTATTAACACCAACATCACCAGATAATGGGAAATTCAACAGGTAGATGTGAATAATGCGTTTCTGAATGAGACTCTTCATGAAGACATCTACATGATTCAACCACCTGGGTTCACACACTCTGATAAAACACTTGTTTGCAAACTTCAAAAAACTCTCTATGGCCTTAAGCAGGCGCCTAGAGCATGGTACGAAAAACTGACTCAGTCTCTTATTCAATTTGGTTTCATTTCTTCAAGATGTGATCATTCCTTGTTTGTCTACTCCCACCAAAGTGTTTCTCTGTATGCGCTTGTATACGTGGATGGAATTTTGATAACATAGTCTAGCCCTACACTTATTCATAAATTGATTGACAAACTACATACTTACTTTGCTCTGAAGAAGTTGGGCAGACCATCGTACTTCTGGGATATATAAGTTGCCATTCAATCCAATGAAGCATTACTGCTAACACAGAGTAAATACATCAGAGATCTTCTTGTCAGGGCAAAGATGGAAAACGCAAATGGCGTCCCTAACAATGCTTAGTACTTGTAAGCTAAGTAAACATGGTTCCTCCACATTCTCTAATTCGCAGTTGTACACATCTATAGTTGGTGCACTATAGTATGTGACTTTAACCAGACCCGACATCGGCTTTAGTGTCAACAAAGCTTGTTAGTTCATGGCTACTCCCCTAGACACTCATTGGTATGCGGTCAGACAAATTCGCAGGTATTTGAGTGATACTTTATACCATGGTCTCTGCTACTATCTCCATCTGTGTCTGCGCAAAAAAAAGTTCTCAGTATTTATAGTGATTCTGATTGGGGAAGTGACCCAGATGATCGAAGGTTCACTTTTGATACATGTATATTTGTTGGGCCAAACTTAATATAACGGAGTGGTGGCAAAGAAACTTCAAATTCAACAATGTTCCTGCAGCAACTCAAATTGCTGATACTCTCACCAAACCTCATGAATGTATTATGTTTCAAGACTTGGGTACCAAATTGAAAGTGCAATGTATAACACAATCCTCTTCAGTTTGAGGGAATGTTAGAGATATTAATAGCAGTTCTTTTCTATCAGCATAATTACATATTAATCCTCTCTATGTTTCATTCTCTGTTTCCATTCAACACAGGCGTAATATAAAAACTTACTTCGATCAATTACACTAAACTAAATGTAGAAACATCTAGAGTGCAAGAAAAAGTTACCAAGTCAATTATAATACCCAAAAAACACACTATATAACTTAAAAAGGTTGGAGAATGGAGCCCATAATAAAATAAAATATAAAGTAGAAAGGACGTTTCAGCTTCATACAAGGAAACAAAAGGACAAAAACACTTTGAACTTATCACAACATTAACTAGGGTAAAACCGGAACATGACTATTTCAAAACAAAACAAAAAATCACCCATTTTTTGTTCACAATATTTTCACTCCACTCTTTAACTCTAATCTACTTTTCTTTCTTCATTCATGTATCAATAAGCAAAACCACCGTTTTGGTTCCTTCTTCCTTTTTTATGATAAGAACCTTCTGAAGTAGAAGAAGATGAAGAAGATGAAGATATTGCAGCAAAGTAACAGTTCTCATTCTGAATATTGTTGCTTTCTGTTTCTTCCTCATCCATGAAAATCTGCTTGCATCTACATTCCACACTACAGAAAGCTTTATCTCCTCTTCATAAAATAAAAACACAAAATAAGTATAGAAAATCTCATCAGAAAATAAAATAAAATAAAATAAAAACTATTTTTTTTAAGAAACAAAACAAAATGAAAAATAAATATAAACATAAACATAAATAATTATAAATATAAAATATTAAAGTAAAATAAGATCTGTTATTTATACTAATATAAAATTACTTACTTGTACATATAGATGTCTTTTCCTGGTAACAACCTTTTCCTACAAAGAAAACATAGTTCAAGAAACGTTGTATGTCGTTCTTGAAAATGAGATTCATGATGAGAAGAAGATTGTTTAATGATGTTATTAAGCATCATGGTTTTGTTGATAACTTGGGGAGTTTTCTTGTTGTTCGTGGTTATAGTTATACCACTTTTTTGAGATTCTAATACTACACTCAAACCCACCATTTATTTTTGTTGTATATTGGTTTGGTGGTTACTACTTACTAGTGAATGGAAAGTGTTTAGTTTTATGAAGAGGAATTTAGGGAGAAGGTAGTACAAATATTGAGAGAAGATAGAAATGAAAAAAGAAGAGAGAAAAAAAGTGTGTGTGTGGTGTGATGGGACCCATACAGCTATATGTATGAAGCAGTAATAAGAAAGGACGATCAGTAATTTGACTGCTTTTGATATGAAAACGCCACGTTGTGGTTTTGAAGTTTTTTTATGGTTTTTGTTTTGTCGTTTAGTGGGTTTTTTGGATGAGTGTGTAATGTTACATGGTGTTTTGTCTAATACTACTAAACATTGGTTGACAAGGCAAGGAAAAGAAAAGAAAAGAAGAATGAATGACCCAATGCAATGCATAGTCGCATTTAACTTTTGAGCTTTTAGGTGGAGCAGTTCTGCATGGGTTGGGATAATGAATTGATGTTATTATATTAGTATTATGGGTTTGTTGGTGATTTGATTCAGTTTGAATTTTTGAAGAGAGTTGCTTTTGGGTTAGTTCGGGTTGCCATTCATTGATTAGAACAAAGGGTCATTCTATGCATAGTCAAACTTTGGTGTTTGTTTTTTATTTGTAATATGAAAATTTAGATTGAAGATAATATGTTGCAAAATACAAAGTGGTATTAATCATCTATATTTGTCAGATTCGATTTTTATTTTGGCACAGAGATGAATTGGGTAGAGGTGCATGATTGTGATCGACCAACATTAGAGAGTAATGTACTTGTAAACATTTTGATGATCACATGAATACAATTTGTAAGTGTGAAATTCATGAATAGAAAGATAATGTATCTCATCCTCCACCAAATACTCGACTTCGTACTTAGAAGATTGGGTTGTAAGACACAATATTCTTATTTTAAGAGTATGTTCGAATGAACTATTTAAAAGAGAAAAATTAATTTTTTTAAAGGAATTTAAAATGATTTGATCAAAATTTATTGTTTGATAAAATATATAGAGAATTGTTAAAATGATATGAATTTATAAAGTATTTTATTCAAATAATTTAAATAATATTAAAAAATAAAGAATTTGAAATTATTCATTTCTTTTATATAATGCAAATTTTAAATCGTTTATTATTAATTTTTAAAATTGTGTCCTCGTAATTTATGAAATTTTCAATTTCATTTCCAAAATTTATAAAAAATTGAAAATAGCATCTAATGTTTTCAAATTTTACAAATTGATCCTTTCAAATTTTCAAAAATTGTAAATTGATCCTTATTTTTTATATTTTAAATTTAACCCAAAAGTTTTAAAATTTATGAAAACCACCCCAAAAATTTAAGAATGAATCATTTTAATTCTCCATCCAAGCAAAATAATTTAACAACAAATGAATTTCAATTAAATAATTTGAATTTCTTAGAATTTTGAATTTCTAAAAAATTCTCAATTACCTCATTCTAACACACACTCTAAGGGATAATTGGCTCATTGTAGAGTTGTAGAGTTGTTGATAGATCATGATATGATCTTAACTATATGACATTGACTGATCATTGATCACGTTCTATTGCATCTATAGGGTGTTCTCACACTATTGACGTCTCTTTGATTAATGGCTTGTGATGACTTGGTTTGTTAAGAGATTTGACTTGGCCAAGTTTGGAACAATTTCCTGAGTTGTTAGTTGAGGGGATCAGATGGTGTCTTGGAGTAAGAATTCATCCTTCACGTTGACAAATGAATGGAAATACATTCAGTGAACCTTAAGTGACGCAACTAGATCTTTATTGAGTCCAAATGTGAAACTTGAAAGGCTTTTTTGTTATGTTGATGGATTGATAGATAAGTCATATTAAATTCTTTGGTGGATCTCACACGTTCATATCCTTGTTCAAATGGTGTTTGAGAAACATCTTCAAGTCTAAATATTGTGTCAGGATTTTGATGTTACAATTATCTTAGAGTCTTCGGAACTTGGAAGAAGAGTGATGACATTTTGGATTCAAGTTGACATATGGATTTCCTTTGTCTCACATGAGGTCTACTGATTACTCCATTTATTTGAGTTATATAAGTCGCCAATAGTTTAATTCATGAATGAAAAAAATTAGGTATTTAGTCGTGTTTTAATTAGATTAAGGTAAAATGTGGAGTAATTGAGTCAAGAATACTAGGTGCTCTATTTTGTGAATTTCACTTGTGTATCCTTGTGCACAATTAGTCTATTTATGTTTAGTGTCGCGCCATGACATATTTTTGCTATTACATTAGGCTTAAATGTCAGAAGAAGGTGAAAAGAGTAGTGACACAACATTAACAACTAAGACTTAGAGGATTTTTTAAGAAATAGTTGTGCTGATGACCTAGAAAATATGAATAAGAATGAAGTTGTGCCGAAATGGACAAATAGTTTTCACACCATGTGCAGAGTTGTACTATCCTTGTACACACAAAGGGTTATGATTTTTTCTTTGGGCTAAACTTCAATGGACAAGTTGGATCAGCCCAATTATTAGCATATTTGTTTTATAAGCAAAAAATAAACTTTTAATTCTTGTTGTGAAGATGAATATAGGAGTCAATACATTGAAGATTACATGTATTTGGAATAATTCTCGGCATTGTGTTGACCTCTTGTGTTGGAAATTCTTAGTTCCCAATTTGATGTTGGAAATTAGATAAGGAGAGATTTAAGGAAATGATAAGGCAATGTCCTCATCCTAAAATTCCTATCTGTATTATGCTAGAAATATTTTATAATGGGTTAACACCCTAGACATGTTCAATGTATCTTCAAGAAGATCCTTACTTTCACGGTAATATACAGATGGGTTTGAGTTAATTATGAGCATCACTACAAACACTTATTAGTGAGAAACTACAGGATTTATCCTTACTGTTGTTGAAAGACCAAATGGTGTACCTAAAGTCAGTGAAAATGCACTAATTGCTCATGTGACTCTCACAACATGATAAAGACCATTATAACATCACATGACGCGACAATTTCAAAAATAGTAAAGGTACTGACAAAGGCATGTGAAATGGCATGTGTTTATTATGGAAGAGCCCGTATATTTTTATATTTCTATGGAAATCCCATTTCAGTCAACTATCTGAGGAATTATAACAAGAACCTTAACTTCTATAGCAACACCTATAATCCAGGGTGGAAAAATCACCATAATTTTTCCTAGTTCGATTATCAAAATCATCTAAGACCTCAAGCACGTCAAGAATATCAAGGTTTTACTATTATAAAATCATAATGTAACACCTGCAATAAGTAACTAAATAAAGGTCATACTTAAAGATTTTATGCACGAGACATAAACCATGAAAATGAAACTAAGATTCAAATTCAAGTTAAATGGGTCAAAAAATTAAAAGTTTGGAACAATTTTTTGTTTCCCTTAGCTCAATAACTACTAGAATTTTACCAAGTACCATAAAAAATCCAAACTCCACCACGGGATTACAGAATAAGGAAACTTGTAAAGTTATTTCATTAAGGAGTGTAAAGGAGTATGAAGGACCAATAAGAGGATAAATCATAATTGGGACCTTAGATGAAGGTCAAGTTCAAGCACTAGAGGAAGTCAGTTCTTTTTAGAGACACAACACCCCATTGTAACTAAAGATGCTAAAAAATTTACAAATCCTTAAGTTCAAAAATAGAAATCTCCCAATAGATCCCCAAAAGCTACAAATATGTCATCTAACAACTTTGGAATTAGTAAACCAATGAGTCTATTTGTGAAAGAAAGACCACCACCACCATTCCTATAAAGACTTAAAAAGGTTAAGGACCATATCATTACCTTCCACGTGAGGATATACTGGAATAATCTTGGGTATATGGATCCCATCCTTATCTAGAGGAGATATTACCGCTTTCAAATCCTAGAGGTTATTGGGTCTAACTCTCTAAGACGTAAGATTAAGTAGTTAGACCCTCCTCTTGTCTTAGGATTTCCCTCACCGCCATGCTTGCTATGAGTCATGAATGGTTAAGGTTACAAGTTAGTCTTCTTTATCATTTCTCTATTCCTTGATCATTTTCGATAAGGTTATTGAAATGTTACTTCTCATTTCCGATAGACAATGCCAATGTTCCTTTCATTAAGGAAGCTTCTTCTCATAATGGTTGGGTATTAGACATCTATAAGAAAATAACCTTCTCTATCTTCAAGGTGTTTATGAGAAGACGAGAGGTAAGGATACATGCATACACTCGGACTCCCAAGTTAATGATTGTCCAAGATGAGATATATAAAGTTGTAAATGAAGTTTGTGTGTAAATGATTTGATGTTTATAGCCCTTCTAAATAAGAATTCTCATAGGGTTACTCATTCTTCGATCTTTATCTAGACTGTACATTTTACAAAGTTACATGATATAATTTGTTATGTTATAAAACAATATTTCTTTGTTTCCCTTATTTACTTAGATTGAGCTCCTCATTTAGGACAGACCCAAATATGCCTATCGGGTCCTAGAATATTATGTTGGATGACAAAGGTATGCATTTCCGTATCATTTTTCTGACACCATACGGGGGCACTGAAGCTATGCGAAAAATGCACAAAGCTAAACAAACAAAGTCGCCACCTAAATTTATTTATTCCGAAAATAGGGAAAGGAAAATATAGAGAAAACCTCAAAATGGGAAAAGAACATGGTCTCGCAACCAAATCTCGGGTAAGGGAGTCAATTATGCAAGGGGAATGTATTAACATCCCTCACTTTTATATTATTTCAAAGGATCCACTCTTGTTATTCTAAACAATGGGTCTGTGTATATATCTACAACTTACTTACTAAGGGTGATGTATGCATAAATTCATTGGGAAAGAGAAAAGATATTTATTAGTGCGTTCGCCTGAGCTTTGCAACCCCATGCCTACGTATCCATGAAAGGAATCAGAACACCTTAGTTCTTCTAAAAATGTTTGTTTGTTATATGTTTTTTATGGATGATGTTAAGTTTTCATTCTAACTGTTAACATTTTCTGCTCGACCTTTGGAGACTCACGCGTTGTATTATGTAGAATGAAATTAACATGTTATTTTTGAAAAGGTTTTAAGGAGAAAATCCAAGTGGAAAACTAATTTGGATTTGGTTTATGTTTTTGTTAGAAGAGAGATAATAATTGGACCCTCATCTAAAGAGACACTCATCACCTTCACACCTTTAACGTTTGAAAGGGTTTTTGAACATTGTTTAAGTGTTTTTGGATTTTTTATTAAGAAAATGTATTAGTCTTAAAGAGATGCAATTCAAATAAAAAGAAAGTTTAAGGGAGACTTTAGATCTTAATGTTATCATAAAAAGTGTACCTAAGGTTTACATTGAAGGGAATCTAACCTAATGTTGTCATGCCATGATGGACTTAGAGTTTGGATTGAATGGGAAACT